GGAAGGTATAATGCCGCCATGCCGTCCGTCGCCGCCGCCGCTGGAGGCAGCGAACGGAAGTGCGCGCTGCCATCTCGCCAGGTGAGAAGTGACCGCCGCGCGTGCAGCGCCGCCGTTTGTGTCAGCAGAAATATGAAATGTTGTTATGTTTGCGTACGTAGTGTTCAGCGTTCCGCTCTTCCAAATATTCGTCGCCGCCTGTCAGCATTTGTCCAGGCAAAGCAGCATAAGGCGCGTAACGCAAAGGCTACGCCCGCGCCAGAGGTGCTTTGTTCACCAAATGAAGGCAGTGCCACGGTACCTGGCAGGATATGGCGTAGAAGGTAGGCGAAGGGGCGCTGTTCGAAGTGCCGCGTCCACAGAAACCATACGCCAGCAAGAGAAAACGTCGTCCGCCGCCCGCGCGGTCCACGCCCAAACGCCGCCGAACCACCAACCACGCCAAAATGCCGCAAAGTCATGTTCTGTTCTTTTCGTTCGCCCACTTTATGAAATGTCGTCACCGCGATGTTGTGCTTAGAGTTTTACATGTCAGAAGCGTCGAACGCCCAGCCCATAACCAACGCGCTCCGCATGAGCCACGTGTCGCCCGCTCAAGCAGCGATATTTTCGACGTCTGCCCTGTCCAAAACAGCCCACGGCCCACGGCAGCCAGCTGGTACGCATGTCGCACGCCGCATATGAAGAGGTGAAGAAGTTGGCGAGGAGGTGAGAGAGAAATTCAGGTTGAGAATGGATGAGTTGAGAGATGCTGGCAGTGGTGGTAGGCAGGTTATCAGCATACCATATTACGTCATGTTATACAGGGAGGTATACATGTTGCAGGTTAGAGAGGCACGCGCAGAGAGAGAGAAGGGTACGCACAACCGAGGCAGAAGGCTGCCGGGAGGCAGGCAGCAGTCGCAGCACTGAAGAGGCACAGGTCTATAGAGAATGCAACAGAGAATTGGGAGGTGTGCTGTGAGAATGGAGAATCACCAGACAACAATGGGAATTTGGTGCTGGAGGGAGAGGGAGAAGGCATGCATATATAATAGAAATGCCAGCAGGAAGAAGGCTACATACAGGCGCTGGGAAGCGGCAGCGCGCAGCTGTCGGCAGCGCGCTGCTGCGCGCTTGCACAGCGCGTGCATGCCGCTGGCAGGCGCGTAATGCGTCCTGAAAGAGTCTCAGCCACGTCACGCCAGCGTCCACGCCACACCAGCCCAGCCACAACCAACCCGTCCTGCTCCAAACCGCCGAGGTAGTGGGGAAGGCGCTGAAGCGCGCAGGTCGGCAGCCATATGTTGCGCAAGTGCCCGAGAGAGCGCGCAGTTACGCAGCGCACAGGCTGCCACCATGTCGAAGACATAACCAAATGTCTGCGCGCCAGGCACGGCACAGAAGAGGCGATAGAGAGGAAGGGCGTGTTGCAGGTTGCGCGCGCCGCTGTCTGTCGCCCAGCAACACGCCACCACGCCACGCCAAACCACGCCTTGCCTGTTCACGCCTGTCACCACCAACAACACCATTCTCACGTCTGTCAAGGTGTGTGCGGTAAAGTGCAGCAGTGCGTGCAAAAGCGTGTAAGGTGTGTGTGTGCAAAGTGGCGTGTGTAGGTATGGTAGTATATGAAAGAAAAAGGGGTGTGTGTGCGCAAAAAAGAAAGGCGCAGGAAAGCGGTGTGTGTGTGTGTAAAAAAGTGCGCGGCGGTGCGAGTGTGTGCGTGAAGGTGGCAGCAGAATAGTACAGGCGCGGCAGAAGGCGGTGCGGTATGGTAGGTGGCGGTAGGTAGGTAGGTATAGAATATAATGAATTGAATCAATCATCCTGAAACTATAGAAATCTAAAATTAACCAGACGAAGAACTAACAAGGCAAGTCGGCCCATATAATCCAGAACGAACCCAACCCGTCCAATCCAATACCAACCACCACCCATAGATGAGACATAGACATAGAATAATAATACTAATCACCCATCCAACTGTCCCAAACTGACCAATTCCATCCATCTAGGTGGCAGGCGGTGCAGGAGCAGGTAGGCAGGCAGAAAAGGCGCGCGTGCAGAGGCAGGCAGCAGAAGGTGAGGCGAAAGCATGGGCAGGCAGTGCGCGTGGTGGTGTGGTAGCAAGGCGTGCAGGTGCAAGCGCATGCCATGCCAGGAAGGCAAGGCAGGCAGGTGGGGGCAA